TGGGCCGACATTCATGAAGCTGAAGTCGGCTTCTTGTTCAAACTCTCCCGGTCCAACTCAAATGGAAGTTGGACCGGGAGAATCTGAAGGAGAAGCGTGTGAAAAGGAAGCCGAGTTAAGCCTCGTCTGAAATCCACAACGCTGGCTGGGTTAGCTAACAAGCAGCCTACGACATACCGCCTTACGCCATCAGCACATTTTGTCGTGGTGATATTTAGAGCAGTAAGATTTACCTGTTTTTGTTTACAACAAACGCACTCGAGACTTATTTCTATATTCTCGCTTGTTTATGCTCGAGAGGACGACAAGCGAGGGACCACAACGCCGCTTCCAGACTTGCTACCTCTGCTAACTAGCTTATTCCAAATACGCCCCCTGTGCAACGCGCGGGTGGATCGTCCCAAACAGCAGCCGCTTCTCCAAACCTCACTTCTGCTCTGGGAGTGTTCAAATAGCAGTTTGGAACATTTCTCAGTTTGTCACAGATTTTATCACAAAAATTGTGTCACCGTCATCTGTTCTTGTTCTAAGTAATGCGAATCTTCGTTTATTATCCGACTACTCTGTAGAAATAGAGATGTTTTGTTGCTGGAGCAAGCGGGGAACACCCATAGGAAATGGATTCTTCCAAGTGAAAGTGGATAAGGGAGCTTCGGAAGGGAGGTTCTTTGAAATTGGAGCGTGACCGCTTCTCAAAAATCTCGTTTACGCCAAGTTTATGTGCAGGCGCTGCACTACAGGTGGGCGAGCTGGCAAAAATATAATATCGCGATACTTCAAGAAATTTGCATGATACACTATATGTCACAATATTTATGTTTTCAGACATCTGATCAGTTGGAACAGAGACTACAATTATTTTTCTTCAATATTTGGCATACTGTGTTGCACAAAATCCAGTTAAATGGGACCAATTTTGCTCTCTGCATAATGAAACATGCAGTTGTGTTCAACGAGTACTGATGATATCCATGATACGTTCAGAAAAACATACTGTATTGTGTTGTATTGTAACAAAATTTATCACAGTAATGATATATACAGTCATATTGCCCAGATGTACCTTCTAAAAAGTAAGCTGGGTTAAATCCAAGTTATTTCCACAAATACTTGACAAGCCTAGGACATGTGTTTAAATGACTGACACCTTTCAATATCTTGTGTGAATTTTTTTAAAAGCAGGAAGTATTTTAAAGCAAAGCTAACGGTAGCTATACATTTAAGCTTTGCTAATACAGGTTTGTTCCCACTGACACTGAGGTCTTGCTACCACCGTTGGACATAAGGTCTGCCCTGCGATGGACTGGCAACCTGTCCAGGGTGTTTCCGCCCGATGACCGCTGGGATAGGCTTCAGTTCCCCCCGCAACCTAGAAGGATAAGCATCTTAGAAAATGTGTGTGTGTGTTGGACAGAGGGACAAATGAGAAAACTACTAGGCAGAAGATTGTCTCCATTTGGTTACTTTCACTTCTATTTAAAGATCCATACACTACATTTTTCTTATGTTTTATTTTTTCACAGAGGTTCTGTTACTGTGCTTTTAAGAGTGCTATATGTAAATTACCTCTGTTCTGACTGAGTGTCCTCTACTGTGTCCCATTAAAAAGCAGTCCAAGATGAAACACTTCTTATATTCACGCTAATGGGCGAGGCTAAATTGCAACAGGCTGAGTAGGCAAATTTTTTGTGACATCACAAAACCGACTGTTTTTGCAGCTTAGTTTCCATGTATGAACTGTATGAGATAAACATGAATTGCACATTTGAAACTTCATTAATGCTTACATATACAGCAAATGTCAGAGAACATCCATCATTTATTTCATTTCCAGTCAAACAGCCGTTAAGTACAAGTTATTCATTTTTCAGATGTTCCTAATGAGGTTAAATGTACAATAATCCACTTGCATAAGGCTTGAAGAAGGAGAATTAGGAAGGCTGCAAGGCCATTACTGAAGGCTTCAGACTGACATAAGCTCCTGTATAAGGCAGGAGGAAGGAGAATTAGTGAAAAAACAGTGTTTCCAAAACTGTAGTTCAAAAAAATGACTGGAAGATACAAAAATAATCCTAACAACCACCTGGAAGACCTGGTAGACACCAACACTGTCCCCGTCAGATAAACAGTACTTAAAGAGTGGAGAAAATCAAGCTGAAAACATCCACAGGTGTTTCTGTCCATCCTCCCACTGTGAGAAGGCGACTCAGCGCTATGGGTCTGAAAGGATGTGTAGCTGTCAAGAAGAACCTCACTGAGAAAAGGAGACGGACACATCAAACAAAGAAGCTGAACAATGGACTGACCACCCCAGAGACCAGCCCTCAACATCACTGAATGGGTTTGGATTACTTAAGTAGTGAGAAGCAGAAAATGCAAAACCAACTTCTAAGGCTGAACTTTGGAGTAAAGTGGAGGAAACTGAGTCTCCTGAAAAGAATAGAAGCTGTAATGAAGGCAAAGAGTGGACACACAAAATCCTGAAAATATATTTAGTTGCTGATATAAATTTTATTTATTAAGTTTTATTTACATCAAATGTAAATATGATTTTCAGTGATAAGGGCTATGCCAAGTTCTGCATTCAGATGAAAGATCTATGTGACTGTTTTTATGCTTAATATTTTTGTTATATACAAAAGTCAGTTACCTATAACTAGTAGTAATTTTTGTTTTTTAAAGGAATTTTGCCACCACATTCGTAACTGCATTTTACTTACATACACACACCGATCAGGCATAACATTATGACCACCTTCTTGTTTCTATGCTCATTGTCCATTTTATCAGCTCCACTTACTATATAGGTGCACTTTGTAGTTCTACAATTACAGACTGTAGTCCATCTGTTTCTCTGCATACTTTGTTAGCCCCCTTTTACCCTGTTCTTCAGTGGTCAGGACCCCCATGGACCCTCACAGAGCAGCTACTATTTGGGTGGTGGATCATTCTCAGCACTGCAGTAACACTGACGTGGTGGTGGTGTGTTAGTGTCTGTTGTGCTGGTCTGAGTGGATCAGACACAGCAGTGCTGCTGGAGTTTTAAACACCTCAGTGTCACTGCTGGACTGAGAATAGTCCACCAACCAAAAACATCCAGCCAACAGCGTCCTGTGGGCAGCGCCCTGCGAGCACTGATGAAGGACTGGAGGATGACCAACACAAACTGTGCAGCAGCAGATGAGCTATCGTCTCTGACTTTACATCTACAAGGTGGACTGACAAGGTAGGAGTGTCTAATAGAGTGGACAGTGAGTGGACACAGTATTTAAAAACTCCAGCAGCACTGCTGTGTCTGATCCACTCATACCAGCACAACACACACACGCCACCACCACGTCAGTGTTACTGCAGTGCTGAGAATGATCCACCACCCAAATAGCTGGTAAAGTGGACAGTGAGCGTAGAAACAAGGAGGTGGTCATAATGTTATGCCTGATCGGTGTATATTCATCATGCTTTGCACTGTTCAATCACATTACTTGGGGAAAGGTGTGACATGTGTCAGTCATTAATGTGTCCTGTGTGTGAATGTTGCCTTTTCTTTTGGTTCAGAACATTTGAATAACAAAACTGTCTCTTGAACACCAGTAATGATGATGCTTCGTGGCAGAAGCTCAGGAGGGCTGCAAGGCCGTTATTGAAGCCTTCAGACTGACATAAGTTCCTGTAGGAGACCCTTCTGAAGGTTTAAAGAACCTTAACATAATGTAAAGTTCTAGACCAAGTTTAAGGGCTCTTCCTAGAACCTTTGCACTTATTGTAATTTAAACTTTACAAAGTTCTTCACACTTACAAAAATGGTTCCTTACAGAACTGTCCAGTAAAAGGTTTTTTAGGGAACCAAAAGTGGTTCTTCTATGGCACCGCACACAGAACTCTTTTTAACAGCTTTTAAGGTGTTCTGGAACCGTGCCAGAGAAGAACCACCTCTGGTTCCTTGAATAAACATTCAATGGATGCTCCTTTAAAAAGAAATGTAAATGAGATGTGCAAGTCAAGAACCCTTTTAAAATGTAAAGAACATCAACTGGTTCTATACAGATCAAACTGTTTTTCCTAGGACTGTTTGTCCAAGTCAAGGACCTCTCATGTTTTTAAGAGTGTAGAGACCAGCACCCAGGAGTGTATGTGTTGCATCAAAGCAGAAAAATATAAAAGGTTTATTCTACAGGGAGGCCGGCTGGACCCTGAGGAGCGGACATGAGGGAGAAGGCCCTTCTTGGTTTCCTAGGCAGAATGTCAGGAATCTGCTTCTAGAAATAAAAGGTGCAGAACGTAGCACATTAAATACACCACCAAATCCCCTCCAGCCACATATCACATACCTGCCCATCGAGAACATAATCAGAACCTACATGATTAAAATGGACAAGTCATTTCAGAGGGGCAAATTCTTTTTTTATGAACTTGTCATTCTAATTGGACTTGTTTTCTTTATGTTCACGATGACTATCTGAAGGCTTGTTTTCGTTGGCGCCCGTTCACATCTTAAGCAGGACTAAACAGGACCATAAAATGAGCCGGAGTTCCTGCTCAAGGCGGTATCTGAGTTTAATCTTACGGGTGGGGAACCAGTCATGTGAGGTCCTGCTGTACAGTCCCTCTGCGTCATTGTGGTCACTCTGGGAGACTTTCTAGGCCACAGCTCCCTCACCTCAACCCCTTTCTTCACCGCCCTGGGAGTAGGAAGGCCTCACTGGGCCTGCCGGACTGTGGCCAGGACTAAAACTCCAGAGAAAGGCGGGGTTTAAACGCAAGCCACAAGCCTCAAAGGGGGACTGAATATACAACAACAAAAGAACACTTCATCTGTTTGTCAAATGTTATTGCCCTTCGTGATGACTCAAAAGCCACCCAGGAAAATGCTACTATCATCCAAATAAACAGCCTGCTATATAATTATAATATTCTGGGTGGTCTATAATTTTTAAAGCATAATAAGAGTGTAAAATGAAATTTATGCTGGCATTTGCAAAGAATTTTTCTTCTTACACATGTTAACATACAAAAATATTTATTGACACATTTATTACATTTAATTCTGTCTATTTTGCTACCGAGAGACCAGTCTCAAAGTGCTGAAACAAATTAAGTGGAAATATGAAAAGAAAAAAAAAAAAATTGAACATGAAATTGAATCAAATGGATACAGCAGCCAGTGCAGATTAGGCATCTGAATCATTTAGTAGCCATCTGTGTGCTGTGACAATACTGCCACCTGCTGGTCAATCACCACAAAGCAGCCTACAAATGTGTGGTAAACGCTCTGAATTGGAAATTCACACATCAGGCGCTCTGCTGTAATTTATTCTATTCATAAATACAGCTGTGCATTGGGCTGAAGGCAAGTACACTCAAGTTAGCTGCTTGATGAGGTTAATGGTAAACGGTGGGGCAGGTAGGACTCCATCTGCGCTGTAGATGGGACATGCTTTAAAAGCACAGGGCCAGTCGCTCCAGGCATAGCGCAGAGCCGTTACATTGTTGGGACACGTAGCTACCGATACCAAAACATAATTACTGCCCTGTTCCTGCATCGGTGCAGCAAACCATGCTGAACCTTCATCACATGGTTTCCTCTCTTTAGAGCAGCAGATCTGTAGTGGAGATAAATATCAATCAATCAACAAACCAGCTCATAGAATAACGCAGGAATGATTGCTTCATTTCAGCTTGAGACTTCATCTTAAATCTGATAGACAGTCGATGAGCCACCGTTGCTTCTTTAGTTCTGCACTGGAGCATCGAGGCTAATGTAGCTAAAAAGTAATAGAAGCGTATTCTTCATCAACGATACCAATAAGCCTCACATGTGCAAACCATGTCAAGTTGTTAAATAACCTTAAACAGTTCTGATTATGTGGTTTGTGACACTTTATGTTACATCATTATCTATAAAAACAGACATTGGCTCAGCTAAATTAACCTCGTAGCTCTAGTGCAAAGCTATAGAAGCAAAATTCAGAGACCAAACACAGCTGATCTACTACATTTACAATAAGGAAGCTTTTGTGCAAATTCAATTTTTCAGCAAATTATTGCTTTAACGGACCCAATTAACTTGGGTTTAAAGACCACAGAAGTGATCCCTCTATTATCTAACAATATCTAATATAAACATTTTAAAGCAAAACAATAAAATCAACTTTTGCTTAGTGCTTATACAAATTCATCCAATAAAAACCCTCACCTCAAAGGTGTTATTAGAAAGGGTGGCTTTGACCCTTTGATTGAAGGTGACGTTTAGGAAAGTCTGGTTCATCAGGACCGTGCTGAGTAAAGGCCCCTGGAAGAACACCCCCTTTTCCTCATAGGCAACAGCTCGGGCTCCCTGCACCAGCCTAAATGCCATATCCTGCTTGTCCTGAGGGTGAATACTGCACTCACACAGACACACACATACAACATTAACTATTACCCTGTTATACATTTTAAAATAACTTATTAAAAAGAAAAAATGCATATTGTACTGTGCAAAATCAGAAAGCATCCTTTATGCATTTCATCTCTAGATAAAACGGCCGTTACATACATGTTGTTCGTTTTTCAGCATCAGGAAAAAAGGCGGAAAACAGAATATTACATAGAAACCTTAACAACTAAATAGTGTCATATTTTTCAGGATTGAGTGTCCATACTTTCCTTTATTACTTTTTCTAGTCTTTTTAGGAGACTTTTATTTTCTTTCTTTTCAAAGAAACTCTAAAGTTCAGTCCTAGAAGTTTGTTGCATTTTCTGCTTCTCACAATCCAATTAATCCCAAACACATCTTCTCACAGTGGAACGATGGACATTGGATGTTTTCAGACCTGAAGCAGCTTGATTTTCTCCTCTCTCTAAAGATGAAAGCTTTAAATGCTGTTAATCTGATGGGGACAGTTTTGGTGTCTACTAGGTGTTGCAGGAGTGTTGTTAGGAGTCAAATTTTCTCTAGAACTTCGAATCATTGAACTACAGTTTTGCAAACTTAGATATATCTAATCTCTATATATCTCCTGAAAAATGAATAACTTGAACTTTATTGCAATTCTGAAAAAGTGTGGTCTCTGACTTTTGCACAGTACTGCGTCACTAAAGCTCACTTCCTAATCCTGACAAAAGCCACAAATAATACTTCTAATACACCTTTGAAAAGGCATTCTTCAAGGGTTCTTTAGTGTGAAGGCAATTCTAAGAACTTCAATGCTTAAACAATTAATTCATGGTTAAATGGCTCTTCTAATATTGTGTATGGTACAGAACTTTTGTTAAGAGCGTGTATAAGACATTCCACCTGTGTTCCGACCCTCCTGCCACACTTGTCCGTACCTGCCCCAAGGTGACGTCTCATCTGGTAAGTCAATAGTAACAGCCATGAATGTTTTCTTCATGCGTGCATTAGGAACAAAGCCGTAGTCTGCGGTCTGGTGCCAGCGAATCTCTGGGAATCCGTCTTTCACGTTTTTCCTATAGGCACAGAGCTAGGGAGGTTCGAGAAAAATTTAAGAGTGAGAAGTGTGAGCAAAAGAAAGGCATGTATAGCTCTGTAATGTGTGTTATATTCAGTATTGTGTGTGTCTGTACTGGGATTGTATTTAGAACATTCTGTTCCTTAAATTTTTGTTTTTCCCTACATGGTCATATCTGTCACACCTGTCACTTGTCATATATAGGCTGGGCCTAATCTTAGCATCAGTCCAACCTATAAAACTGTGTCAGCCCATTGTTTTACGGGCTGGCTAGGTGTCTGTTACCTGCGCATAAGAAATAGACTTCGATTCTCCAGACATACGGCAGCTCCCTGGATTTGAGATGGGTTTGGACTCTTCAATGCCGATGAACACTCAAGAGATATTATATCTTTTTTTTTATGATTCAGCTACTAAAATCATACCCAGTCTAAATAACTAAAATATCAAACTCCAATTAGACATTTCCATGGATTTTAGATGAGAGGCTACACTGATCAGGTATAACATTATGACCATTAAAAACTCCAGCGGCACTGCTGTGTCTGATCCACTCAGACCAGCACAACACACACTAAGGCCCAATCCCATTTCACCCCTTGCCCCTGCCACTTAGCCCTTAGCCATCTGTTTTGCGCGTACACATAGGGTTTGGGTGTCCCAGTTTTTGTTGAGATAGAGGGGTAGGGTGAAGTGTTAGGGCTACATGGCCCTTGGAGGTTTTTCAGAGAACAGAGTGTTAGGAGAAAAAAAAGAAAAACTGGCAAGATGGCTGCGCGAGCAACTAAAGAAACCCACAAACGTGAGAATTTTCTCCTTTAAAAAATTACGATAACCATTTTATTTTCTTAGTTTTATGTCGTTTCAATGTATTGTGGTCGTTTTCGTCATAACAAGCATAAAAAAATCACTAATAGCATGCTAATGTTTTGGTAGCTAGCTAGCTAACTTTCCCGTTCCACCTTAAATAGTCCAGCAGTATTGACGCCTGAACCGCCAGAATTGCTGCACTATTTAAAGTGGAACATTCGAACAAGAAGCTGGTGAATATCTGACTTCAGCTTCCTATCACCAAAGAATTAGCAGTGGGCGATAATAAATAATTGTCTTACTGCCCCTCTTTGAATTCATATGATGCCCTAAATGTAACTAAAGCCCAGCAGTGGGGTTGCTGAACTTTACCCTCCTCTGCTATCACTGAAGACGGGCCGGGTCGCCTTTTTTTGACAGTCGTCCCATTTCGTAGGGCAAGATTTCAACCACTATCCCATTGTAACTCAGTTCCAAGGGGTTAGGGTGACACTCGAAAATAAGGGGTAGGGGTAAAAAGAAGAAACGGGATTGGGCCTAACACACAACCAGCACGTCAGTGTTACTGCAGTCCTGAGAATGATCCACCACCCAAATAGTACCTGCTCTGTGAGGATCCATGGGGGTCCTGACCACTGAAGAACAGGGTAAAAGCGGGGCTAACAAAGTATGCAGAGAAACAGATGGACTACAGTCTGTAACTGTAGAACTACAAAGTGCACCTATATAGTAAGTGGAGCTGATAAAATGGACAATGAGTGTAGAAACAAGGAGGTGGTCAGAATGTTATGCTGGTCAGTGTAGTGACGTTCATCAAACAGTAATTGGTGGTATTCTGGGTTATAAGGACCCTTCTATTTTTGTTATTTAACATATGTCTGGTGTACATAACCCAGGGCATATTGTTTGTTATTCTGGTTGCATGTTTGGGGTGGCTGTCTTGTTGAAATGTCCATCTTATCCCCTATTTTTGGCTGAAGGCTTCTCTAATATTTCCCAGTACATCACTCCATTCATGTTTCACTGAATGATGTCTAATGCCCTGGTACTGTTTGCAGAGAAGTAGCTCCATATCATGATGCTCCCACCTTCATACTTCACTGTAGTGTTCTTGGCATCATAACCCTTCTTTCTCCAAAAGAGCTGAATTATTGCCAGACAGTTCTATTTTGGTTTCGTCTGACCAGAGAACATTGTTACAAAAGACTTCTGTTCTGTCTAAATGATTGTGTGCGAATTTAATTTAAGACATGCATCTCTGTGCTTCTTTTTTATCAGAGGAGTTTTAAGTGCAGCATAGCAACAGAGATGATTGAAGTAAAGTTTACTGCTTATTGTTCTCTGTTGCTCCAGCTGCTTTCAGGTTGTCCTGCAACTCTTTTTGAGTGGCTGCTGGCTTCACTCTTATCTTCCTTATCATTAGTCTGGGAGCATCTGGGAAATCTGCTGCACCTCTCCAGGCACAGTTAGTCAAAAGACATTATAGCCTTCTTCAGACAGGCAACTCATCATATCCAACGATGTTTGTCCAAAGTGTTTTTTTTTAATGATTTAGGGTCCAATTCGACATTCAGTGTGTGTAAAGCCTATATTTGAATGTTACTGTTACAGCCTGCAGGTTGTTAGCAGTCTGGTGACTAACTTAATTAATAAAACTGAAACGCTGTTGTAAAATATAGAGTGATGCTTCTGTTAGCTAGATATAAGTTAGAATTGCTAAGTTTTAACCTTACTTGGTCAGCGTATACACACATGCGCCATTACCATGGCACATTCAGCAAGTTTCAGGTGTGCTCAAAACTTATGATTTTGATTTGCAAGCCTTTATTGAGTTAGTGTTGACATTTGCATTCATAACCTGATTTGGTAACTTGAGTATCAGGAACAAGGAACTCCTTAATAGCATTGTAAAGACCAGCTGGCAGCTTCTATGATGCCAGGAAGGATCATTATAGACAAACATTGGCAGTAGAATGCATCGTTCCCAGGGAGCTCGGTGACGATCACAGAACGTCATCTTTGCCACAAGTCAGGTTGTGAAATTTCTGCTAGATCTGCCCTGGTCAACCGTAAGTGCTATTTCTCTGCAAAGAAAGCATCTAGGAACAACTACAGCTCATTCACAAAGACTATTAAATAAGAATATAACAAATTCAGATGATAATAAAGCCTTATTTAAGTAATTTTGGAATCTGATTCAGAAATGCATATACCAAGGAAACTAGAACATTACTGACTTAAGACTGCTGGGTCTTTTTAGAGACAACCAGCAAGACAATTATACCTTAATTCACAAGCTGTGTACTATTTCACATGGCTAATTACTGTTTGCATGTAAACGCAGGCTAGTTTAATGTTTTCTTAAATACACATTTCTGGAAACATAAATAAACACTTTAAAAACAGATATTAGTGTGTGTGGCACCTGTACAAATCCAAAAGGGAAATCCTGTGCAGTCTGTCCCTCTGAGCCTCTGTGGAATGCCATCCTCCAGTCATCAATCAACGTAGGGAAAGTGCACGAGTACTTTGCCCGGTCATACGCTGTGTTGCTTTCGCCTGAGAAGCAGCAGTGCGAACTGAGTCAAGCAACACTTTATTACACCTTCATTCAGTTCTTTTACATGGGCTTTATTATCTCTTACCTTGGTACCATATGGCTCCTTTGATGGTCATGTTAAGCAAAGGGTGGATCATGGCATTCCATAACACTGAATTAGCCCACATCTGTTTCCAAAGATGACTTCATACAGGCAGTGAAATTCACAATAAACAGAATTTGGACAGAAACAGCAAAAGAAAAGCAAAAATAAAAAAATACAGTCAGCATTATATATTAAAACTGTTAAATAAAAACTGAATATCAATGAAATGAACAATGAAAATGCCAGCTGCTTTCTGGATTATGAAAATATTTCATGGTCAACAAAAGTGGGCCGAAAGTAAACCTCATTACATTAACAGACATTAAGGTTAAGAATGTTTCTTTCCTCCTCCTGTAAGGTTACCATTTTAGAGGATTTGTTATGACTAAGCACATCACAATTATTACAATTGCATTATCGCTTTATTTGAGTTTATTGCAATTATTTTCCAGGCAACTATTTTCACAGTCATTTGTTTATGTCACAACAAATGAGGCAAATGAATGTAAATAATAGAAACCAAAAAAATAAAACTTTTTTGAGAAGCATTGTAGGAAAACAACACTAGTCTGCTGTTAAAACCTTTAGAGGGCAGTGGTGAGTAACGTTTGTTTATTTATTTTAATTCCTCCGAGTTTTCAAAACGTCTGCATGATTAAATGGCAAAGATATGAACCAAGTCATTCAGAGTGGTTTGGTGTGAAATGTTCCATCCTAGAGAAACCTATCAAGTCCGAACTGTTCATAGTGATGGTGATGGGAATCAGATGTCTGCTCAGTTTTTGTTTTACAATAGTTTGTGACAGGATTTTTCCCTAAAGGTATTTTTTTGCAAAGCCTTTGTTAACTTTTTTACATTACTGTGGTATTATTTTACCATTATGAACATTACACAGCTTCACTGGTCATATTAGTTAGTCAATAAAATGGAAATATTTGCATTACAAATATTGTGACCCCGGCTCCTTCCTGTGTTTCTCTCAAATGAAACATTTCACATCAATCTATTCTGACTTTGTTTACATTTTAACAACGGAATCATAGAGAATTTTTGAAAAATCAGTAGAATTCTCCTTTCCCATAATTAGAGGGCAATAGTGATTTTGTTTGTTTATTTTAATGTTTGCTTGCACCTTTAAAGGGCACCAGTGAGTAATGTCTGTTTATTTTGCTGCTGTCGGAACAAAACCTCATAACTCCATTTTTGTCGTCTCTCAGTGTTTGACATAGTTTGAAAATGCCTGTTGGCCTTTTACATTGGTGTAAGTTTCACAATGAATGGAACAAAAGAGATGGCCCAAAATGACTTGGAAAAAAATCTGGTTCCTTTGACTTACATTAAAAGTAAAGTATGTTTTTTGCTTCTCCTGTAAATTTATCATTTTGGAGAAATGAGGTTTTGTTCCATCAGCAGCGATTTGATGTTTAAGTGAGTAATGTTTGTTTAGTTGAGCTTGTGCTTTGTCTGTATTTAGGAGCTACAGAGTACTGACAGCTAGGACACAAGAAAGCAAATCAGCCAACCTGGCCACTTTAGGCTTGTACTTTGATACAGTGGGCAAAAAGACAAATTAACTATTAATTTGAATTATTTATATTGCAATTAATGGTCAGCTAAAATTTCATTACTGTAATAGACCTAGTCATGACAACAATAACATTCACAAAAGCGCTTCAATTCAATCAGATGGCATCTCTGCCCGTAAACAGTTTGTATGTCACTTGAACATATGGTGCTCAGTGTGGGGACTTTACCTGCTTTCAGAAGTCTTGATCCCACACATGTGCAGCGCCCTTGGAGAAGACCAGGTCTCTACAGGTGTCCCTCCCCAGCATGACTCCACTAAACCAATTGGATAATTCAAGGTCTCGTACAGGTAGCGGCCAAACAACCAGCACAGAGCGGAGAAGTGGGTGAAGTCTTTTCCCCCAAGGATCTCTACAATCACAGATTTAATACAAACTCACAAACATAAGGATTACACTGCACATCATGTTGCATTTTTTTAGAGACAGCAAGCAAAATTCATGATATGTCCATGATATGGGCCCCTGTTTCACACCTGGTGTGGGCCGGGACCATGGAACCTGTACCCGTGGAAGATCCAGCAGCTCCACACTGCTCTGCTCCAGGGCAGCCTGGAAGATTCTCACGTTAGGAAACTTGAAGGCAAGGGCCAGTTCCTCTGTAGCATTATTCACCTGCAAGAAATGCGGAAACACAGGTTCGAGCTACTGTCAGTATATCATAGAAAGAAATTCTGCAAAGAGGATCATCAGTTAAGCCTTTAAATGTACACACACACACACACACACACACACACACACATACATACATACATACATACATACACATATACATATACTCACTTTTATTTTGTTATATATTTCTATCATGTTAGGTAAGCACAGACAATTAACATTTATGTTGTTACACTTTGCCAGGAGTCCTGTCCAGAAGTCACTCAAAGCATCATGTGGCAAAGGAATAACATGGATAGCAAAATGACGGTAATAACTCTAGACGACGAAGAGTTAAAATTTTTTCTATTATTATTTCTATTCAGCAGAAGTGAAAAAATAAAGAATGAAAGAGGAAGAGTGCTAGTGACCTGAGCGAGGGTGAAAGCCATGTTGCTCTGTCCACCACATAACCAAACGTCTCCAAACAGAATATCTGTGAGCATGATCTTGGCTGCAGCACCTCCTCGCTTCACAGCAGTCAGGTTATAGGGACCACCAGCCTGCACTGCGTCAAGGGTCATCTTCCAAATGCCTGTAGAAAAGATCTACGTTATGTATTTGAATAAACTTGGTTCAAAGGTGTCCATCAGTCACACATAAATGTATAACAGCAGCACAAAAATTGTAAAAGACTGGGCAAAAATGGTACCCTTGAGAGAGTTGCAAGGTAAAAACAAACACAAAAAGACGAACACAAAAGCTCGTCTCACATTCGCCAAAAAAACCCTGAGGATCTTTTAGAACAATATTCTGTGGACTGAAGAGTCAAAAGTGGAACGTTTTGGAAGACAAAGGTTCCATTACAATGTGGTGTAAAGGTAACATAGCACTCCACAGTAAGAACACCATACCAACAGTGAAACATGGTGGTGGTAGTGTGATATTGTGGAGATGCTCAGGTTCTGGATGACTTGCCATAATTGACTAAATATATATCATGGTCTCCTTGTCTTATATTAGATTTTGGAAGAGGATCTGTAATCATTTAGTGTGACAAATACGCCAAGATAGAAAGATTGTGGAGTAAATCAGGAACAGGCAAATATGTTTTCAGGGCACTGTAGTAAGTGTGTGTTTCTGAGCCAATTTTGCACAAATGCTGAGCAAAACATTATCATCTTTGTAAAACATAATACGCCATCTGTAAGTACACTTAATGCCTATCATTGTTACTCACCATGAATTATAGGAGTATAGTTTACTTGTTTACTATGTGGTCCTATTAGAAAAATCTCCACCTCAGTTCCATTTGTGGCATATCCCCACACAACAGCTCTCTCTGGAGCTCTCTGCAGGACCATGTGGTCTCCATAATAGGATGCAAAGCGAAATTCATCACCTGGAAAGTATAAAGACATGCAAGAAGCTCAATACAAAGTAAGCTATGTGACTGGATTCATTTAAAGAAGGTTGAAATCTTGCTGTGCCAACATATTTACTGAGGGTTCGAATTTTCTTGGGTCCGAGTGCAACTTCAAGCTGAAAACTGAATTTCCCCATGCTTCCCTTTTTGCTCATCTTTTCCAAGACTGCCAAAAAATGCCAACTGTTCTACAACAATTCTACAGAAATGTTCATGCGAAACACTGAGAGGCTACAAACAAATGCAGTTATGAAACAATTATTGAAGAGTTTGGAATGAAACCACTAATAGCCTGACAAATAAAAGCAGTAGAACAAACAACACAACATAACAAAACATAAATACAGCAATTAAAAAAGAAACTGAAACAGCATTCAGCCCTGACAAAACATAGCAAAATGTTTATTTCAATGGACACAGTGGCACATTGAACACTCTTTTGTGTTCCGCAAGTATTGCAACTATGGCAGCTAAGAAGGCCATTCTTGGTGTCCCTTTTGAAGAATTTTTGGAGAAAATGAAATGTGTTTAAATATGTGTTCAATTCTTCAAAATATGTCTTGTTGCGTACACCAAGCTACAGCAGCCAAATCTGTAGAGAACACTGGTTGCGGTCGATTTAATGTGGCCTTGCACAGCGCTGACTTAATGTGATGCATGCTGGTTAGAAACTACTATCACTAATTTTGCCAGCGCTGCAAAACGTCACCATGTCACTGACATTAAAATCTCATAGGAGCAAGGCGCTGAGGTGCTTTCCATTTGCTGCATGAGCAACAACACACCTTTGTGGCATCAGAACATCACTCTCATTGGCTGGAATCTCCAATGCCAAACATAATGTGTGTGTAATGTATGTTCTGTTTTTATTCTAAGAACTTCAGATCTGTCTCCTATGCAGACGTCACTAATAGGCGGACCGAGTCCAGACCCAGATGCTGTCCTATGTGGACCTGAGCCTATAACAGATAAACTATGGAGAATTCTTTCATTTTGATCGGGTGGTCCTATTTTAATCGATGTAACTTTTCCAGCATTTACGGAAACTCAGACTAATCACATACGTTGTAAATATCACACATAACACTACTCAGCCAATCAGATCTGTGCATTAAGTCAAGCACCGAGACTCTAGTGAGTGGCGCGCACACAGGGGAGGGACAAGGCGAAAAACAGCAGTCGGATAAGAAAGTGAGCCAGATTATTTTACATGGCGTGATCTAAAAGAGAAAACCGACAATAAATGTTGTTGAAATATGACTGAATTGTACTTTATTTGATTCGACATTTAGTTGTTGACTACATAAGATGTTGATATAACTACTACTTCAGTTTACAGTAAATGGCACTGAATTATAATGCAAGTTAGACATTATGACGTTCTGGACTTTTGTTTGAGGAACTTTTCTTTGACTGGACCTTACTGAATTTTAAATAAAGACCTCTGTCCTACGGTTATCTCTCCCAAAGGGGGTGCCATGTATTCGTATTTCTACTTCTGGCAGCTCTTTTTTTTTTTAAACACATATGGCCAACTATATTTTTAATTCCCAGCATAAAATCTGTAAAACATTTAGTAATAATGCCCTTGTAGGTCATAATTTATTTAGATTTCTTGTCAATGTCCTGGAAATATGGTTACCCTAGTAATTTGGACTTTATTCTCAGATATACGGTTCTCAATAAAACACAAAGAAATATAAAGCACCTCTCTAAAAGTTTGGCTCTAGCAGACATTCCCTGTGTGACTTTTTCCCCATAAACCTGAACCCAACTCCCTAGATGTTTTCATAACACATCACTTGGAGTCAATCTGATGTGAGTCAGAAGTCTAATGTACACTCTGCATCAAAAAGGCAAAAGCCGTGAGATCAGACATTGCTGTGAGCTCAGCAGATAAAGCAGATTGTGTCTTTGAAGGCAATGGTCTCGTAACCCTGGGGTCATCAGCAGTTCAGGCTGACCATCAAGTCAAAACAGAAGGCGGCCTTTATTATAATCCACTGGGGGCGCTGCCTGTTTATACAGCGGGGTTTGTATACAGGTCGCCGCTGAGTGAGACCTCCGACCTCTGACACCCATCAGACGACAGAAAACGTACCTCAAAGCCCGCTGAGCACCGTTTGGCACCGTTTCGACGAAACACGTGGTTCAACTCGGAAACCGTAGCAAAACGGTGCACAGCGTTTTGAGACTGAAGCGCCCTCAGTCAGACTGAAAACAAGGATAAAAGCAACCTGACACCAGTTTAAGCTGCTTGTTCTGAGTGCAGCATGATCAATACTAGCATTACTTACTGCGGTTTAACGTCCCAGACGATCCCGCTGTGACAGCACAAAATATCAGCCAGATACAAACGCTGGACCGCATTTCTCCCTCAGTGAGGACACATCCCAGCAGCTGCCTCAAACAGAGGCAGGCGGGCATCACATGATGCATCATCACATGATATCAGCTGGACAGTCGTTTGACTTTTCCGTCAAAATAAAAGCCAGCTTTTATTTTGTAAATTCCCAAAAAATTTTTGTAAGCTAGCTTTTATTTTGTAAATTCCAAAATAAATAAATAAATAAATAAATGAAATAACATAAAAATAAAAAATATCGAAAATTATTATAGGAAAACTAAGGTGTAAAGTTTATTGATCAGCTTGCTAACTTTCCTAATCTTGCTATTTTAGGTTTGAGCATAATAATGTTTAAAAACAATAATAATATATCATAATTTGATGATGATATATTGTGGCATTGCCGTGGGAGATGCAGAAGAGGCCTTTTTCGTCATGTTGTTTGATTATTTATTTATTTGTTTGTTTGTTTATTTTTTTTGCAGGAAGTATACGACAACGTAACATACAACAACCACCAGCCAGGGGTGGATTTACACATTAAATAAATCATAATCAATAATTCCAAAGTCCTTTTTACTTTCGTGTTTTACTGCTTAACCTCAGGAGGAGGCTATTATTACTGCCAAAAGAAGTACTCTTATTTACAGGTCACCTCTCGCTACAAACTTCCTCTTAGCAATGACGAACCAACCCACACTAACTAAACCCAAGCCCAACACAACACAATAACACACACCTTTAAACTTTTAAGCCTTTAAACTTTCAACTCAACAACTCAAAAGTCCATTTTTCAGAGAGGGCTGACCCCACTGTCTCATCGGCGTGGAACAAGATGTGGGAGAGGCCACTATTTCTGCCATGAGAAGTACTGTTTTATTTACACAAGCAGAAAAGGCACATACAACAGCTGGGGAGCAGGCAGGTCACTTCTAGCCATACGTTTTCCCCTTATTGTAGATGCACTGACCCCCGCTGTCTCACCCACGCCCCACACAAAATAACACAATCAACATATCACAAACTTTAAACTTACCAAATAACAACATAAAAACAATAACAGCTCAAGGCCCACAATGACTTTTGACCACCACTGTATTTTTTTTTATCAGAATAGACAAAATTAATGGATTTCTGACATTTTTATCCAAAATGTCTACACTTAAAGTAGTGCTGATAGAAAATAACAGTTTATTAACATAATCTAACTCATGACATAACCAACCGATTCTGTCTAACCGTCCTTTTCAATAAAGCGAACATCAGATTCATCCACATTATAAACATACGCTAGCCTATATGTTGGGGCTGAAACGTTTATTGTTTTTATATTGAAATCGCAATTTTAAAGAGTGCAATTTTCAGCAATGTTATCTTAAAAAGTTTTGAATGGAAAAGAAACTAAATTAATAACACAGAGCTTGTGAGCTGCCTGTAGAGTTGGACCAATTAGAAGCAACAAACACCCATGTTCTGTATGTGTGACATCACATCCAATCCAATCCAACTAACTGGTAGTCTGATACACTCAGCGTCCAGGCTTAATGCAAGAAAAAGTGGACATTCTGGTCTTCATATTCAAACAGGACTGGATATTAATTTACAGGAAAAAATGGCATTTATTTTGCCATCGCAATATTGGTCATGAAAAAGTGCAATTAGATATTTTCCCCAAAGCATTGAGCCCTACTATATGTCCAAAAACTTTTAGACACCCCATTTATTTAGAATTCAGCTTCTTTAAAGGGCCATTTCATGGAAAACTTGATTTCCAATAGTTTCATGAACAGGGTGATTCAAAAAGATTCATCCGATTTCAAAGCACCATATTTTTACAACCGTGAGGCGCCTAGGAACCAATCACATACCAATTGAAAGAAGGGGTCATAGAGTTTCTGACTGTCACCAGAAGATGGCTCCCTTCAGTCTGTGAGGAGATGGAGATGCCTGAGCAGAAAGCGTTCGGCGTTCTCCGCTTCAATAAGAGTGAATCCGTCATAACTGTGCAACATGATTTTCGTCAGCAGTGAACCTCCAACAGCTCAGAGCGTTCGGCGTTGGTTCCACAACACTGGATGATCTCCAAAATTGCACTGAAAGAGTCGTGAGTGCAGCGACACCGACATGCTCAATCGAGTATGGGATGAATTTGACTCTCGCGTTGATGTTGTCTGTACAGCTGGAGGAGGTTCATACTGAGCACTTGTAAAATTACATAATAAACGCTATAGTAAATGCTGTAATAGCTGCAAAAGGGGGAACAACTTCGTATTATTGCCTATGGATTTAGAAAGGGATGTCATAAAAGCTCCTGTGGGTGTAATGAGTAGTTGTCCCAGTACTTGTGTCCATATAGTGTATTATTTGACGTTCAATTAACTCAAAATTTTAAGTTAACCAGGTTACTTTTTTAAGTTAAAAAGTATTTTAAGTTAAAATTTTTTTACAGAGCTGTAGACTTAGAAAGTGTCTCCAGAGTGCTATGCAAGGTAAAAAAAAATGTATTTTCTAGAAAAACATCACAGTGGCCAAAATGTTTAGCCTGTATTAGTAAATTGTAGGTCTATGGAATTATTCTTATCTACAAAGCAAGAAAACCAACCACCAACGTTCTGCATTTATCAAGACAGAAACGTCTTTACTCAAACCATGTCAGAAACACATCGTGGCAGATGTTATAAGCTGTTATGAGTTGTCATGACACGTTTTGTTCAGTAATATAACAGTGTCATGACATCAAATATTATGGCATCTTCACTGACAGTTCCATTAATGGTAAGATGACACTGTTATATTACTGAACAGATCCTGTCATGACATCTGCAATGACATGTTTGCAGCATGGTTATGTCAGTGTTATTCAGTAGGGTTCAAGGAAAGTGTCTCAATAAGCCTTAAGGTTTGGGCCTGTATATTTAGGTGGGAAAAAAATGGGTCATATTAAACATAAATAAGCAGGAATACAATATGATATGCAAAGTATAGTCATTTATTTATTTATTTATTTATTTATTTCCAGGTTAAATGTTTATGCTTCACTTACTAAAATAATCACACAAATCTGAGAGTAGCAGTTTGTCTTCAGCGTTTACGCAAACACAATAAAGCCGCTGGAGAAACATGTCAAATTACAATTGAGCGCACTTATGAATATGAATTATGAGGTTTAGTTCTGTTCAGCAGACTGTGTGAGTAACTGGATTTTCATCAGACAAGGCCTTGAAAATCTGTCTTTTGTGGAAGGCAGGATTAAGCAGGCTGTTTGTGGATATTCATGTTCCTTCTTGCTCGTATTTATAGCCGCTGTGCTTGGCAGAGTTAGTCTGTGGGAGGTGAATGTGAGATTAGGACAACAGTGATATGATTAACAAGAAACGATGAGGAGTAGCCAGCGTCATCATCCCATCGCCGTTTTCCGGGTCTTGGCGTCAGCTGAGATCAGTTGATGTGAAGTAGGAGGCTTGAAGGCAGTTCTTTTTGAACTGTGAACAGAAACCTGTCAGAAAATGTGCCTTTCTGGAAGGTTTTGTCAGTAGGAGCAACTAGGCCTGCATGACAGGAACAAAATACTTGTTTTGCAGTGATATTGCCATATATTGCTATTGTGATAATTGGTTGGTCACAATGGTTAAAGGGACCCTTAACCAAAATTAAAAATGTAACCATCACTATATTTGTTGTAAACATGCCTATTTGTTTCTCACCGTTGTGCAACAACAGTCTATAGAGTAAATTTTTCCAGTTTAAAAATGAGTAGAACATCTTCTGATGATGGATTGTAAAGGTGGGAGGAACCCAGATAGTTAACATTACTGTTAGTAAGCCAAATATCATGTCTTCGTTTGTTATCCTCTTCATCAGCGCCTACGCCAGAGAATGTGTATTGGGGAGCATTGCTTCTTGATAACGTCTTCTGGGTTTGTCAAATGCTAGAGGGCGCTCTTGAGTGAGTCCAAAATGGATGGATTCCTACGGAGCTTTTGTGCAAAATCATAGTTGATAAATGTTTAATCAAATTTATACATAAAAATAACTAGTTTTCTCAACACAGGGCAGCATAAAATATTTTAATTATTTTTTGTGCACATTTGAACAGTTGTAGGACTTTTCTAACAGTGCCTCATGTATGTTCATAATGGCAGCAAACACAAACCGCTTTAGTCAGCCAGTTCGACCACACAATCAGCACTCAACAGCAGTAATGCTAACAAATTAGCACTCAGCAGCAGTAATGGCAACCAATCAGCACTCAGTAGCAGTAATGCTAACAAATTAGCACTCAGCAGCAGGAATGGCAACCAAACAGCACTCAGCAGCAGTAATACCAATCAGTCAGCAGTCAGTAGCAGTAATGCTAACAAATCAGCACTCAGCAGGAGTAATGCCAATCAGTCAGCAGTCAGTAGCAGTAATGCTAACTAATCAGCAGTCAGTAGCAGTAATGGCAACTAATCAGCAGTCAGTAGCAGTAGTGCTAACCAATTAGCAGTCAGTAGCAGTAATGCTAGCATCTTACTGCCCTAAACATATTCTCTGCAGAACCATGGAAATACACAGGTATATTTTCTTTCATTTTTTAGTGGAAAATATCCTTTTACTTTCCAAAATTAAAGGAAGGTTTCACACAAATTTCCAAACCAGTCAAGTCAGTAATGCTAACCAATCAGCACTCAGCAGCAGTAATGCTAGCCAGTCAGCACTCAGCAGCAGTAATACTAACCAATCAGCACTTAACAGCAGTAATGCTAAGCAATCAGCACTTAACAGCAGTAATGCTAACCAATCAGCACTCCGCAGCAGTAATGCTAACCAATCAGCACTTAACAGCAGTAATGCTAACCAATCAGCACTCCGCAGCAGTAATGCTAACCAATCAGCACTTAACAGCAGTAATGCTAACCAATCAGCACTCAGTAGCAGTAATGCTAACCAATCAGCACTCAGTAGCAGTAATGCCAACCAGTCAGCACTCAGCAGGAGTAATGCCAACCAGTCAGCACTCAGTAGCAGTAATACCAACCAATCAGCACTCAGCAGCAGTATTGCTAACCAATCAGCGCTCATAATCAGTGATGCTAACCAATC